TCCAGGGTTGTCTCCCCTCCAGTTGGCTGTATGACAAACTCTGGGACAAAGTCATTTAGGTCATTAACAAATCTACCCCCTCTGTCAGAACTAGAACTTCCACTTCTTCGTCGTGGCCTCTGTGCATCACACATATGGGGGTACTGCACAGATGGCCACTCGAAGAACATCAGTGACAGGTAAGCAACCTGCTTTTATCCAGTAAATGTGTAGGTAGTTGAAGTTACCCATAATTACAGCTCTGTCTGTGAAGCCTTCCTGATTTCATTCTCCATCTTCAGTGTAGAGAACAGCATGCAATATTTATTTATTTAGCAAGCTTCTATGCTGCCCTATTCGCCGAAGCCTCGGGCAGCTCACAACAATAAATAAATACATATTAACCATATAAAAACAATATAATTGGAGACGTCCTAGCCAAAGATATAAAATCAATAATGTTAACCATTAAAATGATGTTTAAATAAAAAGGTCTTGGCCTGGCACCGAAAAACAAATAACAAACAAGTAACAAATATGCCCTTTCCTGACCATCTAAACAGTCTATATCCAGAGGTGATTGTATTGCATTGAGTCTCTCCATTCCACCAGGTTGTCATCAAGCACTCTATATTTAAAGCTTCTCCTTTAAAACCAGAGATTGTAGCTCTCCTGTTTTGACCCTGAGGCTGCTCACTTTTGCATGGAAACACCTAAGCACAGCTTCCTTCCTAGATCTGTGCAACTTACATTTTGGCACATAGGCCTCTCCAACCGGTTTTCATGCCTCAGTGCATGCTTGTGGCTTATTTTCTCCTGTCTACATTTGGGCAATCAGAAATTTATTTTCCTTCATTCACTAGGGATGGTTTAACCAAAACAAGCAAACTGGTTCCTTGAGAGCCAAGAACTCATTACACTGAGCACACACCCATGGCTTACATACAGTTAGCAGAGAGTCGTACATGTGGCACTCAATACAATACCCTGGATAGCCCCCACACTCTTTTGACTTTCTACCTTCATAACTGGGTCTAATTAATATTTTGGAGTTTGTTCACTTGAAAAACCTAAAATTTGTATTTTATTTCTTTATTTTACTGGGAGAGGATAATGGATTTACTTTAGTTTGCTACTTTATGGTTTACCCCTCTTGACTAGGAAAAGGGAGAACAGAATTCTTGGCCTTTTTGACTTGTTGATGACCTTGCCTGGTTGATTAACTCACTTGTGGGCTCATGCTTCAGTATTGGGGCTCCTTGTGCTGAGAAAGCTGGTTTCCTTGCAAACCAGCCTTCATCTATAGCTCTGGGTAGGCTGGTCCAATTGCTGCTGCAACCATTGTGATTAGAGGGCCTTGTTTGAAAAGCTTTTGAACTCCTGGCCTGCCGTCATTTCCAGTGATTGGGAAAGAACTCTCCCTGGAAGGGGAGATATTCTGTTCAGTGCAGGGCACAAAAGTGAACAGGTTTTTGGAAGCAGACAACAAAGGATATATGATTTGTGAAGGGGAGTAGTTTGGAAGGCTGAGGTCCTTTGTGTGAGATTTAAATCTAACCATAGTTTGTCAGCTTCTCTATAGCCCTAAATACCTGATCCTCCACTGGGCCCAAATTGAAGCTAGCCTTCACTTTAGGTTTATAAGCAGTTTCTTGCAGTAGCCAGGCCTGCTCAGTGGCTTTCTTGAGAGCACAAAGGTAGCAGAATACTTTGTGGGAATGCTTTCCCTCTAGTATCCGTGGTCTTTGTTTTGTGCTTGGCCAGAATCTTTCCCTCTAGTATCCGTGGACTTTGTTTTGTGCTCGGCCAGGTCATGCGAAGCAAGCCAAGCCAAGACGAATTCGGTGAACGCTTGCGGAGCACCAGTTGCACAACCAGCAACCTTCCCCAGCAGATAAAGAGTGGCTGCAGGATGCGGAAGAGGGGTTTGCTAGCAGTCGTGCCAGGCACCATTCCTAGCGAGTCCAGTGACCCACCTTCTTCCCCACCTGAGCCAACAATGTGATGCAGCCACCAAAAGGGCAAATGCTATTTTGGGATGCATTAACAGAAGTATTACTTCCAAATCACAAGAACTAGTAGTCCCTCTACTAGTCAGACCTCACCTGGAATACTGTGTCCAGTTCTGGGCACCAAGATTTAAGAAAGATGAAGAAAAATAGGAAAAGGTCCAGAGGAGGGAAACAAAGATGATTCAGGGTTTAGAAACACTGCCCTATGAGGACAGACTGAGAGAACTGGGCACATTCAGCCTTGGGAAGAGTAGACTGAGGGGGACATGATATCCCTCTATAACTACCTCAAAGGTTGTCACAAAGAGGAATGTCAAGATCTCTTCTTGCTCTTACCAGAGTGCAGGACAGGGAATAATCAACTTAAGCTGCAACAACCCAGATTCAGGCTAGATATCAGGAAAAGCTTCCTCACTGTCAGAGCAATACCTGACAGTGGAACCAGCTGCCTAGAGAGGTGGTAGGCTCTCCCACACGAGAGACATTCAAAAAGAAACTTCTAACTCTACTCTTCTATGATTCTGTAAGGATGCAGCCCATGACACCTAGGTTTGGTTGGGGGTATTGGTGAAAAATTGTTTTTAAAGCCCAAATACATTATGTGCCCTGCTCTCAACGTACTAGCAATTTGAACTCTGTCATATATAGCATATAATGTCTGGAAAGGTGCTCATATTTATTTATTTAAAACATTTGTATGCTGCCCAATTGTGCCGCAGCACCTTCTCATAATTGTGGACACAGCACGAAACTATGCATTTGGCTGTGGATCTCTGCTACCTATGTGCTAGATTTAAAGAGGCTTTTTCACTCGCACACAACATTATGTGAAAGCTGTGGAGCAATCTGCGGAGCAATCTGCTATAGTATCTGTTTTATGTTTATTTTACTATTAAAATATTCAGTTGAATGAAGGGTGTGGATGATGGAGCTGGGTTGGTGGCACCAGTTTGCTTTGATCATCCCTTTGATCATCCCTTTGATCATGCAGGTTGTGTTCAGCTCAAGCCTTTTTGTGTGTGTTGATCTTCTCCATCTGCCTCAAACTAATATCGTAGGGACAACATCAAATTGCGTGAAATCTTATCAAATGTGATGTACGGTACCAAATGGGATATTCCTCAAGAGATGGAAATTGGTGCGTGACCTACAGTGCTCATTGGTTTTGTGGGACTTGCCATGATTGATCAAGTGTCTGTTGAAGTGTTGGTGCATTGTCTTTACCAGGGTTAGGAGAAGAGTTTCAGCTTTTGAAGCTGGAGGAGTTTCTTCTCATGATGCTACCACTATTGTGACCAGGTGATAATTGGATAGTTATTTAGATAATCTATGGACCAAGAGAGGGTTTTTTCTTTTTTTTCCAGGAGTTTTTCCACCACTGCCTTCCTCAAGAATCTAAAGGAGTTGTCACATCACTGCTTGTTTTTAGCTTCCCAGAATGGTGCTCATTGCTTCTGACACTGATACCATTCCAACAGTTTCATTCCCTGAATCCCTCTGGTGAAATGCCTGCATAACATAATTGTGGCTTAAGAACTGCTTTTTGTGAAATAGTTTGAACTTCGGGCGCAGGGGCATGCATCCCTATGTTATGGCTTTCCATGCAAAAAACAAAAGGCATGTGAGAAAGGATTAGGCATCTATCTGAAATTATCTGCAAGTTTTAAAAAGTATAGGAACATCCTTCACAACTGATCCAGTAGATGCATGTTGTGCTTGCACATATATATGCCTGAGAACAAAATTTACATTTAAAGTTCTAGAACAAAGCTCTACTAGATTCAAGTGGATATTTGCCAGAAGAGAAGGTGGTACACATTAGGTGATTTTATTAAATTCTTCCTTTTGTTGCCCAGTGTATGTTAGCATGATGCTTCCTATTCAGGATATGCTGTCATAGCAAGGACTGTGTGTCGGCATGCTCACGACAGTAATATTTATTGTGCAATCTGTAGCCAAAGTGGAACCACTCTGCAACCTGCAGGTGAATCATATCACATTGTGAAGCCTGTGTGGGCCACCTGCTGCCGTTGGGCACACTGCCTCTTTTCCCCTTCTCCACAGCATGGCAATAATACTCTCTGCTAACAAAATACTGATTATCATGTAGGTGTCTGATGTGCACACATAATGCTAAGTCACCTGCATGAGCTGCAGCTGGCCCAGTAACCCTCCTGTTTCTCTCTCCACACTCTGTGGCTTGTTATGCTTGAACTAGAGATTCTGGTTTAAAACAGGGTTAGATAATTAAACAAGTCAGCAAAAAAACCCCTAGGATTTATCACTGGTTTATTTTAAGCCACAATTTCTACTTTGATCAGAATGACAGGCCGGTTCACTTGTACAATAGAACTAAATTCAGCTAAAGTCTTATGCCGTGTGGGAGAAGGGAATGTGCAAGGCTGAGGCTTTGCTTGAACTTATTTTAGCTAAGGCGCATAACTTGTTCTAGCAAATGCGCATAATGCTAAATTCTGGCTTAGAGTTATATGTCATTCAGGTCAGAACACAATACATCTCTGAATCTCTCTCTCTCTCTCTCTCTCTCTCTCTCTCTCTCTCTCTGTGTGTGTGTGTGTGAGAGAGAGGGAGAGGGGGGGCGGGTGGAAGAGGGAGGGAGGGAGAGAAATTTAAGCAATCAGTTCATGTGCTTCTCCTGAAGCATGTTGCTTCTTGGGCATTCATAAATCCCTTGAGGTCAGTGGGTACTTAGAAACTTAGTGAATTGTTTTATAAAACCTAGTTTTCCAGAGTGACAGGTTACAAAGAATGTATTTAATTTTGGCCTTGGGGAATGTTAAAAAATCGTATATTCCAAGCGAACCAGAAGCAGCCAGCTGTTAGCATTCCTCAGAATTCTTGAGGAATGGAAACTCTGCCATTCAGTTGATGATGAAATGGAGTTTTGATACTAGAGTGTTGTGGGCTGGAGACGATTCTGCAGGCCTAGGCAGATACTTGATTTTGACTGAAATCTCTAAACAGCTTCTCTGTTCTCAATTTTTATAGGATGGAACCCGACCTCCACTTGACACTGATGTGGACCTTGAAGAAATTGCTCATGATCCCTGCTGTGATTGTTATACGTGAGTAGCTTCTCCCTTGTTATCTTCCACAACCTCTTTGTCAGAGGTGGTCTTGTCAGTTGTCTCTGATTTTGTTTTTTCAATAGCAGAAACTAAGCACATCCCCAAATGGTCATCTTTTAAGTTATTTTCATCATTCATCGCCCTAAGCATCATTAATGCTCCAGATTTCTTCCTATCTGGGTCTACTGGTTTGTGCAGTAGTGAAATATATTACATTTTGCCAAATTAAAACAACAGTAACTTTCTGATTCAATTACTGTTGAGGCTGTGTTGATATTCCAATTCTGAATTAATACCATCTGTCCAGAGGAGTGCAAGAAATGTTGTATGGAGTTCTTAGAGCTCCATCCAGATTCTTGTGAAAGCTAGCAGAATATACTCACTTCATGCAGAGAAAAATGTTTTTAGGTTGTACTTCTGCACAGGTTTCCTCCCAGTTCTCTCTTATCCATGAGCCAATCTGCTTCTGTTTTGTTTTCACCACTATTAGCAGTTTCTGGGCTCCTTTGTAAATATTTAATTTCTGATTTGTTGTGAAAATAATTAGTGCACATATGCTAATACTACAGTGTTTATGTATTTCTGTTTTTTGGTCATTGTCTTCTAACATGACTCATTCATCTATTCTGTGTTTTTGCAGGGGTGCAGATCTTTCAGCTCTAGTACGGGAAGCTTCTGTCTGTGCCTTGAAGCAGGAAATGGCAATGGCCAGTACCAGAAATAGGACAGGTAACTTGGGGAGGTGGGATTAAATACAATCACTCAAAGATAACCAATTTCCTTAACTATTAAAGATAATTCAATTATAGCCAACCAAAAGCTAGGAAATAGGTTTGTGTTGCATTTGCTGTGGCATCTGTTGTATAAAATCCATAGGTTTTTAATGTATTGAGAAGTTGCTTTGGGCTTGGCAAAAATGCAGAAATTGCAACATAACCTTCCCCTTGTGAAAATCCTTTTTCTCCCTGAAAATGAATATCAGCCCACAGCATTCTTTCATCTCTAGTTTTCAATGGCTGTGGAAAGTTTCAGTTTTTAGATCATGAATTCTCTCTCTTTTCATGGCCTCTAGTCATACTCTCAGCCTGTATCTGCTTCCCACTAATGATATCTAATGCCCATGCATTAGGTTTCTTCTACAGGTAATTCCATGGCAACATTGTTAAATTGATGCTTAGACCAGGCAGGCAGCAGATCATAGCTAAGATCAAGGTCTGTAAAGTGAGAGGGAGATTATTTGTTCAGAGTGAAAAGCCAGGTTAAACTTTGAGCTTTCTAGGACTTGGGATCCCATTAGATCATTTTATGTACTACTTTCCTGTCAGATGCCTCAGGAGTCATCGAGCAATGGGCTATGTGCAAATTGCTAGAATAGCAGTAGGTGCTTGAGTCAGGCAGCCAGCAATCTTGAACTTTGGCACTTGATCCTAGACACATTTTGTAAAAAGCGGGGGCAGGAGTGTGATATGGGAGCATTGCTAGAATTCGCTTCCATGTTGTGATTGTTAATTATAAATTATAATTTATTATAAATAATAAATTGTGCAATTGCCAGCTTTAGTCATAGAAAGGATGCTTTCAACTGCAGGATGCCTTAGGAAATCATTATATACCCAACTCAGACTGTTGACCCTTTAGGCCTGGTATTGTCAAAAACAATTGGCAGCAGCTCTCTAGGACTTCTGGCTGGAGATTTGTCAATGCTGCCTAGAGATGGTGGGGATCAAACTCAGGACTTTAGGCATGCAGAGCTATGGCCCCCTTTCTTTCAAGCCATTCTGACCTCAGTTTCAAAAAGGCTTCAAATGAATGACATTCCAGTGAAAAGTAGCAGTCTTATTCTCAGACCAGGAGGATAAAATATGCAGTTTTTATGCCAGAAGTCCTCTCCCAAGTAAGAGCAACTGGTCCTCAAAAACACATATGTTAAGCAGTATTATCAATAAAAGCAACAGTAGTAAAAGGTACGATAAGCCTGAAGATCTTGTCTTGCTTTGATAGTCCACAGTAGGCAGGCTGATGCTCCAGTTGTGTGTTAAGACCAAAAAAGCACAGGAAGAAACATGGAAAGAAAATACCAAAATGCTGCACATCCATGCTAGCTTGAGTTTCCTTAAATCTGAGCGAACCAAGCCGGCCATTCCAGACTATGCAGTAAGTGTGGAAGCTACTTGAATTTGTGCCCAAAATACTGGAGAGCTGTTGCCACTCAGAGTACATCATACTGAACGAGTTGAACTCATGTTGATATGTGAAATCCTGTTTTGGCAGGCAGGTAGCTTTTGCCCGGCACAGTAAAGTCTTCAGCTTACCTCATGATCAGCAGTATGATTTGAACAAACTTTTATTTCTGATTAGCTCCTTCCTTTATCAATAATAAACACAGTAGAGTTTCCTTGAGAATTTTTAAAAAATGTGTTACATTTCTATAGGTTCTCTGGATGGTTCACAAAACAAGAGTTAAAATCATTAAGCACAATTGCACAATAAAATATTAGACAAAAACATTTAAAGGTTTAAAACACAATAAAGCCAGAGGAATCGATCCAAGTTAAGAGTCAGCAACAAGGCAACACTTTTAAAAGGTAGTCAACACATTTAAAAAAAAAAAAAAACCCGAATGACTAAAAAAGGCTGGAAAAAAGCTTTCACCTAACACCAAGAAGACCCCACTGTGGGCTTCAGGTGGACCTGTCTGTGGAGGGCATCCTGCAGCCAGTGCAAATGTCTTTAGTGTTCACCTGTCTCTCCTTATCTGATGAGGGGATCCAGAAAAGGGCCTTCAAAGAAGAACCTAATGGGGAGAGGACAATAATTCAGGTAACCTGGCCTAAAGCTGTTAGCAGCTTTAATACTAGCCGTTTGAATTGAGTACAGAAATGCACTGGAATCAGTGCAAAGCACAAGCATAATATGACCTTATCAACCGTTCCTGTTAACAAACTTCACTGAAGTTTCTAGATCAAGCTTCCAAAGACAGCCCTACATGTTGCAATAAACCACACAAGTTTCCCAGTATAATTATAGCTAGGCTCTCTCTGTCCAGATAGTACAGTAGATAGTAAATCAGTCTAAAGTGGAGAAAAAGTGCTCTGGATCAGCAAGGCCATGTGTGCCTCTGGTGAGAATTCTGGATCTAAGAGCACCCACAAACTACGAGACATCCTTTAGGGGAACTGCAGCCTTCTCAAGAATCAATTGAATGCCATTCAGAGGGGCAGACAAATCCACTAACAATACCGCCCTGCCTTGTCTGGATTGAGCATCAGATTATTGATGTTCATCCAGACCTACCTTACTAAAAGGCACTGACTGTGATTGCACAACATGACAAGCGACAGGTGGTTGTCATGTCATGCATATGAAGACTACTTTAGATAGAGTGACTTGTATAAGGAGACCAAGCTATCCTGATAACCCATGGCTTGTTTGGGGGTGGCTCAACCTACGATGAGTTGTCATGCCATCTGAACTTGGGTGACTGAACCCCACTGTGGATTGCAGGTGGTGGTGAGCAAGCAACTCAGCAAGAACCATAGAACAGTAGAGTTTGAAAGAGGCTATGAAGGACATTGGGCAAACCCCCTGCTGTTGCAGGACACCCATTTACACCATCCCACTCAGCTGGTTGTCCAGTTTCTTTTTGAATGTCTCTAGTGTGGGAGAGCCCACCACTTCTCTAGGCAGCTGGTTCCACTGTCAGGTATTGCTCAGTGAGGAAGCTTTTCCTGATGTCCAGCCTGAATCTGGGTTGTTGCTGCTTTACTTGATTATTCTGTGTCCTGCACTCTGATATGAGCAAGAACAGATCTTGACCTTCCTCTTTGTGACAGCCTTTGAGGTACTTATAGAGGGATAACAAACTAATTCAAACTAATGGAAGGAAGGAAGGAAGGAAGGAAGGAAGGAAGGAAGGAAGGAAGGAAGGAGCAAAGAAAAGATAAGGGGAAAAAAGAGAAAAAGGACAAAAGTGGATAAAGCTATTTACTTAGCCTTCTACTAATATTAGAATTATTAGCCCCATTCTGTCTCTGTTAAAATATTAGTTTGAATTAGTTTGTTAAGAAGAGGCATTGTGCCAACTTTCATATCAAGGGGCCTTGACTTCTACTCCTTTTCAGGTCCAGTAGACAGAACTAATGGTCGTCTCATAGTACATCATGTTTGTTTTTGTTCTTTAGGATTATTTATTTTTTATTCTTGAGGCAGTCCAGGATCAGCAAAACTATTCCAAGTTCCATCAGGGAGATATAATTGTTCCTTAAAGCAAATCATGTATAATTTAGATCAAAAACAACAACAACAAAAAATCACCCAGCTCAAACAACCAACTCCCTTGAAAATGGCAATGGAGGGGGAGAGAACCATCTCTTCCACTGCAGCGAGCTTCAGCCAAAATCAATTTATAATGTCCAGGATTCTTGAATAAAAATATCAAACAATTTACAGCTGCAAAATTACATAGAAGAGTACTCCTTTCAAAGTCCTTTCCAGGCAGTGAAACAGAAATGTCTTAAAATCTGGATCACAACTAAAATCACAGCCTCAAGTCTCAGCTGTCTGAAAAGCAAGGTTGTCCTTCTCAATTTAAAAGGCACAATTAGACAGAAAAATCCCTCCAGCTAGTATTTTCATACCAAGGTCAGTTAACAGTATTTGTAATTCTTAGTTCCGGAGTAGAGACATATGAGATGCCATCTGTCAACAAAAGATTATCCATTTCAGAGTCCCTTCAAAATATATAAACAACAATGCCTTAAGAGTTCAAGCTGCATCAAATTGCTGTGTTACTCCCTTGGCAAAAAATGGACATAATATAAAAACAAACAATAAAAACTAAAACAAAGATAAAAAGAAAAGAAAAAAGGAGTAAGTGTGGGAGGGGTCAACTTGGTTAACAGTTTCCAATTTTACCTTATCAGGCCATCTCGATGTAATCAGAGCTGTAGACCCAAAGTCTTGATGCTCACCTGTCAGTCAGAGAGGCAAACCCCCCTCAGGGCAATTTATAATCACACAAACATGATAAAGCAGAAAGCAGCAACATTTGCTGCTGCTTCAAGTCGTCATTCCTCTGGAAAAGTGACTCCTTTTCTCTTTTTTGTCTGGAGGGTTGGACACTTGCTGCTCCAGTGCTCCCACCTTTTCTTGTACCAGGGCTACTGCTGCGCAGCCGTTGCTGCAGGCCACCACCACTGTTGAATCTCCTTGGTCCACTGTTTCTGCAACCTTAGTGATTCTGTCTGGGATGGGGCGGCTGTTGTGACAACTGGTGCCTTTGAACGTCTTCACTAAAAGCTTAGTAACACAGTCCTACTAGTAAATGGGAGTGCGTTTTGTAACAAGTGAAGAAAACCAGTGTGCATGTGCGCACATGTGCACCCATGGCAGGAATTAAGATGAAACAAGAGAAATGGGGGGGAATGTTAGGGGCCTCCCCCGTGACCTTCCCCCTCCCTCCCCCAACTCCTCTGTCAAACTGCTTGCTCTCCCTGTTCGCTCGCTCCCTGGGAGCTTGGCTGCTTATTTCCCAGAGGCCCTAGACCTGCTGGGGCGGCTTGCTCTGATCTGCTCTGTTCTGCTAGGAGTCAGGAGCCAGAAATACCCTTGCTGCTCCTATTGAGCTTCTCCATGTAAACTTGCCCGCTGTCTTGCCTGGATTTAATGTGAGAGAGAGCAAGGACATCCACTCCGTATTGAGGCCCAAGTTGTGAAATAACCATCCGTTA